TCCTAGGGAATTTGTTCAGATCTTGGCTTTTCAAATTGGTCAGTACATTTAAAAAAGAGGCGTAAATCTGGAACCCACCGTGCATTTTTGGGCCTTGCTACGTTTGGAAAGGGCGTGGTCGGTGGCGTGATCAAAAAATCGGCCATTTTTTTGATTCCGCTGGTTTCTTTTTTTCCGGTTGTTTTGTTAACGAATTTAACTCCAAAGAATTGCGTTCTGTTCAAAATTGTTCAGCCCACAGTCAAGAAAAATGTGTGAAAAGAAACGGCTGTGCATTTTGTGACTTTGTGTTCGCGGGCAAAGGGCCGTGTCGTTTTGCGTGCCCGTCAAAGTTGGCCACTGTGATTTTTTGCCATTTTTCCGGGCATTTCAGGGCTTCTATTTTAATTTTAAAAACTTCTCCTAACAGGGTAATTCGGCTTTGACTTCCAAATTGTCAAGTTACAAAAGTCAAAAAAAAAAAAAACTGGGTGGTGAAAATGAAGGGCCTTGGCTTTTTTGTTTGAACTGTACGTTGAAGGGCGTTGGTTGCGTGCGTTTTGCCGTCAAATTGGAGACCAACGTGTGATACCAATTTCCGGGCATTTTCAGGCTTTCTATTTTAATAAACTCCTTACAGAATTTGATTTTTCATATTGACTTCATGTTTCGATTTTCCACTTGCAAAATCTTACACACCATTGGTTTGATTCATTAAAGGTTTTTCATTTTAACTTGTGCCTCAAAAAAACTTGTTGTTGTCCGTGGGCATGGGCGCTTTGAATTTTCCACCTTCGCAAACTGAAAAGGTGTCCTCTATGAAAGCTCAAAGTTGCTTTTGCAAGTGTCTGAAAAATGTCGTGACACGTAAAAGGCGGTTTCTTTCTTTCAAGCTTTCTGGGATGAGAAGCCTTGGAAGTGGGGGTGACGTTTGAAACATTTCGCGTTCGGTGGGTCCCACGTTTTGTTACGAACGGCAAAAAGTGAACGCGGGCCGCGGGCCAACGCCCCGAGTTCGCGTTTGGAGTGCGAAGGTTCCCTCCAAACTTTTGCTGCTGCAGCCTTTAATTTTAAATGTTTATTTTAAAAGTCTATGTTGTAAAAAAGTTAAAAAATGAAACTTTCCTATTTGAAGAAGTCAAAACTGTTGTTTGGTTTGTTGTTTGGGGTTTTCCAAAACAAAAAAGTGATGGCAGTTAGATTGGTTAGAAACAGAAGCTATGGAATAAATTTTAAAAAAACCATGCCATTTTTTGTTTTTTAAACTCTTCAGTCTTTTCTTTTTTGCAAATCAAAACTAACAATAATTCGTATTTTAAATTGAACAAAAAAAAAAAAATAAAAACAAAAATATGGTTTGCAAATTCAATCCCTAATATTTAAATTTGTTATGTGCTAATTCGGTTGTTTGCTCTCTCACTTTAACCTCTTCAAAGGAAACCCCGAAAACCCTTGGGGGCCGGTAATAAAAGGCGTTTTACAGAATAAAAAACGCAACCGTAGAAATCTCGATGTTAACTTTTTGGTCAAGTTGGTTTATTGTCATCTTTTCATTAAATAAGTTTTATTCAAATTCTATAAAATTTTTCCATTGTGCGGTTACATACTTTGCCTGTGTTTTACGTACTTAATGGGTGGAAGAGTCAGGAAGTGAGTTAAACAGGGAGTTTGTTGGTTTTTTTTAAACGTTTTATTTTATACCTTTATATATATAATATTAATAATATATATAGTATATTATAATTATATATATATATACATACATAAGGTTCTGTGTGGAAGGTAGCTTACAGTGTGCTTCGTCATAGAGCCCAATGACTATTAGAGCAGCCCTTTAATGTCTTATGTTAATGGCTTCATAACCTGGACAATAAGCAAGATCAAGTACAGGTTCCAGTTTGTCAATTACTGTCTGTTACTAAACTGTCGTCAGCGACACGTATCAATACTGCATTATACCGAGTAACTAGCTAGCTAACGATATCTTGCTCCTTTAATAATGCTCAGTAACATTAGCAACTTCGAATGGCCCACACCTAGACTACACCTTTATACTGAAAGTGTGTGTATCCGACTGACTGCGCTACTTTACGATAGCTAAATAAAGCAGAAAACAGGTAAGCGGTTAGCTCCTGCAAGGCCTGCTAGCCGCAGTGCTGTGCTGGCATTAGCCTACCTTCAGCCTCTGTCGAGGACACAAACGTGAAATCTCCGTTGGTGGGAGAGAACTGCATGTTTGACTGTATAGTAGAACACCCCGCCTCAAGAACAGAGAACTGACATTTAACCGATCGGTCAGTAAGCGTTAGTAACGCTGTCACTGATCCCAGCTCAGCAGTAAAGTTCACTTATCGCATTTTGTTTTCGTTCCGTCTGTCACTGCTGCGATGCAAAGCAGGAAGTGCAGAGGAAGCTGGGAAATGAGACACGTCTTATGATGCATTCAGGTCATATCATAAAGCTGGGACATATGTTTAGCTCACTGGGAGATGTAACGTTATGTAGAAAATCAAACCTACAGCAGAAGTAGTAGTAGTAATTAGTAAAAACTGTTTATGATAACATGACACCATTGTTTGAATTTTGACAGTGAGCAATACCTTATAGGAACACAGAACAGTTTGTACCCACAGGCTATCACTCCGATGAACAGTTAAAACCAACAAGCGCTTCATTTCCCTCTCAGCCTGTGAGCCCCTCCACTGATGCTCTTTCACTACCACACATTATGTCATAAAGGTACCATCTCTTGTAGATAGTTCCTCTCTGTGAGCTCTAAAACATGATGGGAGCAGGATATAGGCGAAGACACTAACGAGGATCTATGAGCTGATATTCTTCACTGGGTCCACTCTTCATCTTCATCTGCAAAACCTGATCTATCCCCAACATAAATCATACAGCGCACTCACTGGACAAAAATATGACTTTCTAAAATCTATTCTGACGTTAATCCTCCCTTGTGACAGATGTCCTGCCAAATTGATCCATACTGTTTCTTTTGGTCTTGTCCATCTCAACTTTAGTCCAACACTTTTGACACACTGTCAGGGGGAATTGTTTTACCAAAACTTAAAGCAGACCATGTGGCCACACACTGCGTATAAGAGAATAATGTACTAACTAACTAATAAAGTACTGAAGTGTACATAGTTTATGAACAATTGCTTGAGCAATCATTCAAATATCAGCTTTTTCCTGTGCAGTGAAGTGCTTGCGAGCTGAGCTCCGGGCACCGGCGTGTCGCAAATGTACAAAGAGGCGAGGGCGGGGATGTGCTTGTGTGTGGCACATGTGTCAATGCATCTCTATCAGCTGATGATCAGGCAGCCAGTGTGGGGGATGATGGGATAATTGTTACTGTTGAAACTGAATAGTGCCAAAAAAAAGTAAACAAGAAACGGTTCATTTTGTGTTGCACGGCAACATGTTAACCGGGTGTACAGGTTAGGTTTTGGAGCGCACCCCTTCTTCTTCGGTTAATCCCGCCCTCTCAATTCATCTGGCCAATAGCAGCAACTCTGTTGCCAATAGCGGAAGCTCTGTGGCCAATAGCAGAAGCTCATACTCAGTAACTCATTTTGCCGCTAAAACTAAATTCACTCCAGCCTTCTGTTCGGACTGTGGATTAAAGTAACTGGAAAGGAGTAAGTTTTAATTCGGTATTCAGTGAATTTGACATACTATTATATATTATACTGCTTTATCGTATTGTCAGTGTGTGTTATTTACATAGACGTCGGTTGTAGCCGCCTTTAGCCAGCGTTAGCGCAGAAACTGCCCACTTTGTTCGGTTCAGTTAACGTTGTACTGTTAACGTTAGCTCGTTAGATCATATATGGCGTTCAGATTGTGTCTCAGCTAACTAACGTTGCTATCAATATTTGTAAGAGCAAGAAACTGCTCTCCATTCAAAAGAAACGACAGTGTCACCTCTTAACCCCTCGATACGATTTACTATGTACTATACTAGACCCTTATGTATACATTAGTTGTAATACGCAGTCTCTGCCATTAAGCAAAAACAAAGTAGTTACCGGTATTAGTAAAGCTGATCTTTGACGTGTGATATGTTGGTTATACAGTATGTATGAGACATTTGAGTTGCATACAAACCAAATATATTCACATATGCAAATGAAGATTTTGAAGCAAAGTTAATTTCAAGTGTTGTGTTCAAGGATTCAAGGTTATTCCATTGTCATTTACAATGCAGGTTTTTGGAATGAAATTTAGACATAGTTCTCTGTATGCTAATTTAAAAATACGATTGTTAAAAAAGGCCAAAACATTCAACATACGTAAGGATTGCAAAACAATGACTTCAAACTCGAGTTTCTACTCTGCTGGAAAGTTGCAACAACAAGAAGAAGTCATAGTGGAGACGAAGAAACGTTCCAAAGCGTGGCTTCATTGCACAAAGAAAGATGACAACAGAGCTGTTTGTAATGTCTATAAAATAATTATTTTAAAGGGGAAACACCAGCAATATGCTGAAACTTCTTCCCACTCAACATTGACTGTTATTGATACTTTATGCACTGAGCAGCACAGCCGTTACACAGAGGCTAAATATCCTTTCTTATAATAAAAGTAGTGCCTTAGCAGAGAAAACTGATCAGGAATTGATAAAGAATCTGACAAATAAGCAGAATGGATATTTGTTGTGTTACTATCAGTGTTTTTCTGACAGTTGAGACTGTAATGGTCTACACACAAGTGCCACAAGCAGCATGTCCCTTGCTGAGGGTCAATAAATATCCTGTTATTAATCATAATGCCATGCATTAGCAGGCATAGCAGATTTTGATTTACAAATATTCTCTTATTACATCCAATTTAAATGATAACAGACAGCCTGTTGCTACAGCTCTGTTTCTACATTGTGTTCAGACTCAACAGTTGTGTTGACACTGAAAACTGCAGGACTGTAATTGTGCAGTCCTTGAATTCGAATGTTATTGAAATGGCAATATCTAAATGGCAGATGCAGTAATTTGTTTGAAGGTAAAATGTGTGACAAACAGCATTATAATGAAGTACTGTAGTGCTGCAGAGATGTCCTAGCCTACTAATCTCATTCTCCAGATGTTTGGTACAGACATCAACAAATATTACATCTTCATGATTTTAATAGTTTCTTCAGTGAGATAAATAATGTTCATTTATCAGATTTTTGTGGTTATTTTGTCAGTTTTTGAGAAGGGGAGGTGGGATGCTGGAACCATATCTGTCAGTATTTTCCACTCACTGGATGTAGTCATATTTAACTTAAAGATTCAATTAATGAAAGTCCCTGCTACATCTTCTCTCTGATGGTCTTGGTTGTTAGTGTAGGGCATATAGAGGCATCGGTACTAAATTGAGACGGTTTCACAACCAGTTGAAAACTCCTTATAGTACGTTTAAGATATAATTACAGTTCTTAATGTTGGATCATGCAATTATTTCCTTCAATTTTGAAATGAGGCAGTAGTAAGCACACTCTGAGGAATGGTCTTCAGTTTACATGTTGTCGTCAGTGAGCTTTCAGGATGCCTTTCCTCACTGAAAGTGTGAGCAGTTGTTCTCATCAGTATTTTCTTGATTCATTTACAGTTTGAGTATCAGAGTGGCTCCAATCGGCAGCTGAAAATGGGAATCTCTGGACTGCTGCAGTTCATCAAAGATGCAGCAGAGCCCATCAATGTGAAGAAATACAAAGGCCAGACTGTGGCTGTGGACACTTACTGCTGGCTGCATAAAGGAGCATTTTCATGTGCTGAGAAGCTCGCTAAAGGAGAACCAACTGATCAGTGAGCATTTTTATCATGGTTAAAAACATGTTAATATTCACTTTGGGATTTTCTTGTAATGTCCAAGACTGATATTGGCATTTGAATTTGTCCAATCCTAGGTATGTGTGGTACTGCATGAAATTTGTGGACATGCTGTTGAACTTCAGAGTCAAACCAATTCTGGTGTTTGATGGACGCAATCTGCCTTCAAAACGAGAGGTGGAAAAGGCTCGCAGAGAGTGAGTATTTACCTTGAGTCTGTATGAGTGTTTGGATGACACATCTATGTCCTGGACTGCCTATTATCTATGACCTCACAAGTCCAAGAACACTTTTACACATTAGCACACTTAAAACATAAATGCCCAGTGCAAACTGTTTTACCTTAAAATGGCTTTCTTCCTCAGCAGGTTCTGTTCAAAACCCACTTTTTTAACACCCACCAAGGGTGGGGGAAAAAAATCGTATGCAATGTTTTGTTTTGTTATATTGTATCGATTCTCTATAACTATAGATATTTTTGTATTTAAACCCCAAACAACTAGATAGCATGTGTGTTGTAAATGTGAACTGAGGCCTATAATGTTTGATGTTACAGAGACTGATAAATAAAAATATAAACAAAAGTAGACTTTGTTTTCCTTAAAAAGTTTTGCTAAAATTAGATTTTATAAAAAGAAATCACAATTGATATCGTGTTGCTTACACTATAGCAGTATATCGAATTCTAACCCCAGTGTCATGATGCGTATCATATTGCCAGATTCTTGCCAATACACAGCCCTGCTACCCACCACCTTTCAGTACTGACCCCATATAAAACCCATGGTTCTGACCAGATGGCTAATTATCCACTCTGGTCTGACTGGGAGGGGAAAATTTTTAACCCATTATTTTTGTGATTGTTATTTAAGGCACATAACCAACTCCTCACACTGATGCCCTCATAAATGGTCATCGTTTTTCATTTCCTATCTCCTGTGTGCGCACATCTTACTGATGACGTTCGGTTACTGACCTATAAGACCAGCAAATATCTGAAACAAAAAGACCAACTTTAAATGGCCTTTAAAGGCAGAAATGGAATATACTATTCATAGGTATGTTTTCATTGCTGTATAAATTAGTGTAAATTTGTATTTGTAATTTGTATAGTATAAAAAATAAACACCAATTTTCCATCCTTCTCAATATGACAATATTCCACATATGATAATGGTCATGTAAACAATATGTTCTCTTTGGATATTCCTAATTCAGACTTGTGGGATATGCTAATATTATACAGTATACAGTGCATTCAGAATATGCGTCTCATTTGGGTGTTTTACTACGGTTTGTCTGTTTACGGTCAGCTCTGTGTTGTAAACAAACTAACAAGCCAACAGTTTATAAGGCTTGAGTAGAGACACGCACAGAAGAAAAGAAAAATATCACAACGATTACCCTTTCAAAGGTGGTTGAAAGAAGTTCGTGTCTGTGTTCGACCACCAGTGGAAAAAATCCTACTTTGATGCAAAATGGCTTCAGCAGCTTCAGCTATCCCACTTTTCCCACGGTAGCAATATGAGTGCAGTTTGAAAAGGAGAAAGAAGTAAGAGGGGGGAAGTTCCTCTGTAGGATGTACATATTCATTTTCATTAGACACTATTCCTACTACAACAGTTTAATAGGAATGTTGTCTTGTTCGGAATAAAGGCAAAAAACAGAATATTTTGTGCACGTAAACGTAGTCAATAACAGAAAATTATCAGCCAGAGTTTTTGAGAAGCACTGATGGATGGCCTGTGCCAAACACAATAATCTGGTGTTTTTCATACCTGCTAACAAACAGGCTCAGACAAAGCTTGGTTTATCTAATGGCTGCATTCCAAAACAGAAACAGTGCAACATTGTTTGTGTGTGACAGTGCAGAGAGGAATGTACAGACCTGCAGACAGGTGAAACCAAAAGTACTAAAAGACCAAAACATTATTGTTATTAACAGGGAAGCTGTATCTGTCTTTAGTGGTGTTACTACTTACTACAAAATAATCTTAGCTATTTCCTAACTCAGTTGTCTCTTAGGAAGGTTTTATATCATTGTCCAGAAACATAGTCTCCAGTTTTAATTCTCATTTTAAGATTTTACTAGATTTCGTTTGAACTGCAATTAGGAATTGTAAAGTGTTCCGTTATTGATTCTGCTTCATTTGTGCCTCTCAGGCGTAGAGAAACCAACCTTCTGAAAGGCAGACAGCTGTTACGTGAAGGCAAAGTGTCTGAGGCCAGAGACTGTTTTACCCGCTGTGTTAACATCACCCCAGCCATGGCTCATAACCTTATTAAGGTAAGGGCTTCCTATCTCCTGCCAGGAGGTAAAGTCAGTATTTATATAGCCCTAACTCTGCCCACTAAAAGCTGATGATTTGAGTCGTTAGTACATCTTATCATACATTTTCTTATTATAAATGCAGGTATCGCTCTCTGTTTTTCTTTGTTACTTTAATATATAACATCATTCATGATGAAGTTATGTTGGAAATGTTTTTGTCTTGCTTCTTGAAAACAGGCTGCAAGGGCAAAAGGAGTGGACTGTGTTGTGGCTCCATATGAAGCTGATGCTCAGTTAGCTTACCTAACTAAATCTGGTTTAGCCCAGGCTGTCATCACAGAAGACTCTGACCTGCTGGCGTTTGGCTGCAAAAAGGTACCATGCACTAGACCCAGTGGCTGAATACATATTTAAATACATAGAGGAAACCTGATGGTAGTATACAGTCCCTGACAAAAGTCTTGTCACTTATCCATTTTGTAGAAACAGCCAAGCTTATAACCTGAACTTTTAATTAATCCCATTGGTTTCTAGAAAAATGGCTGCAATATAAAGCTAAAACCCTCCCAAATTATGTTTAATATACTAAATAAATTTTGCTTCACTGAAGGAAAGAGTGATCAGTTTAATGAACACAGAAAGTCAGATGTTTGGGCAAGACAGAGAGAGTTTGGTGCGCCGCTGCTACACGAGAGTAATGCCTGAAACCTTGAAAACAAAATCAATTTACTCTAAGCTAGTTGTGCTGTCGCAGATCCATATTTAATATCGTTGTAATTACTTCCCATGAGCTTGAAGGAGCTGCAATCCATGCTGTCCAACAATGATTCATACAACTTATTGGATGAAGTCCTCAGGAATAGCAAAGCAAAGCAGTACTACAATGCCTCCCAGAGTTCATCAAGATTCTTTGGTTTCGTCTTCCATGCATTCCTCTTTCATTCACCCCAACCATTGCTCAATGATGTTCATGTCTGTCGTGACTTGGGCTGGCCAGTCCTTGGGAGCACCTTGATCTTCTTTCGCCTTGAAGGAACTTTTTGACTTTGTAAAGCGCATGCGCAAGTATTGCGAATGGCAGCCTTCCATCCCTCTGCCCTAAAATTTGACCCCTTTTCATGGTTGGGGAATTGTAAGAGGGAGCTAATACTTATAGATACAAATTAGATATTTTAGCTAGTATATTGGCCTCTGCCAGCCTGGGCAAAGTTCGTGGTCGCATACCCCGCCGATACGGATTAACCCGAGACCGATGATCTTTTCGCCCACCAAACTTAACTGTTTTCTGGGGTCGAATCTGCGGGATCCATGCGGGGCCTCCAATCTCCTGCAGATAATTTGCCGGCAGCCTCAGTGAGTAATTCAACCCCGAATGTTTCATCTGGAGAGAATCCATCCTTCTGAACCCACTATTTTCCTAGCGTCCATCTCTTTTAGCCAGAATGGGTGGGCCTTGGCAAATGCCAAACCCGTTGTTTTTAATTTCCTTTTGTTTAGTGGCTGGTTTTCTGGGCACAATGGATTCGCCATGGAGGCCATTTCGCAGACAGAATTCTACAAACTGTTCTGGTTGATCACGGGACTTGACGGTGACCAGGCCTGGTGGAGCCTTCTGCTGCAGTGGAAAAAGCTCGGCCCTTATATTTTGAGCCACAAACGTCCTCCGACAGGTTTTCTTTTCTTCTCTTGCGGTCTAGGCCGGAACCTGTGCTTTGTCAAAAAACCATCTCCAGTCTCTTCAAATCTTTTTCTATTCTTGGCACTTGACGCCTGAAACAGCATTAAGTTTGTCAGCCACCTGCAGCCAGTGGATCTGCGTGCTTTCAGCCTCTTTGATAATTCAACGCTTGGTCTCAGGGTGAATCTTAGGCATGTTGTCAGAGGTACACCCTGCAGTTTAGTGATTGGCCTGTGTGCTGGGGTTCTTTTATACACACCCACTAATTTGATTAATCAATTATTGATTCACAGGTGAGCCTGTAATCTAGGATCTACTCTATTATTTACTGCGAATACCGCATTCTCGGTGTGCACCGTTCATAATCTGACAGTCAACTGTGCATATTCAGTGGTACTTTTGTCTTTGGCATATAAAAACTGACCCTATGTTGGGCTTTACCAAGCTGCTGAACGTCCGTTTGAGAATGCCTTGTCTTCAGCAGTTTCGTTTGCAACCAAAACATTATTTCAAAGAGACTGTTGCGTGAAATCAGCCGATGTCTTTGTAAAAAAAATTAGATAAGAAATTGATTAGAATTATATTTGACGTGGCATTAAGGTGTCAACTATATATGTACCCAAGCGACAAGACTTTTGTCAGACTGTAGAGCGCGTACGGGCGGGTATATGGCCGTCAGTGTTATTGCAAACCAGGATACATTTTGCATGTGGCACTCTTGAAGGTACTAGTCCTACTCTGTGCCTCCTATTGGCCAACAGTATGACAAGAAGCTGGCTATCACCTAAGAAAGGGAAACAAGCAACACTTAAAGGGGCTGGCAGTAGTCTCAGGTGGTGTAGGGACATGGCTGGGATTCACTAGAGTAGACTTACAGCTTCCCATGCAATGTGCACTGCCTGAGAGGTCCTCTTATTTGACCTCATTATGGTCACCTCCACCATCTCTTCCATGTTTGCCATGTTCCACCATGCCTGCACTTTCAGTCTTCCATACACTCAGTATAGTGGTGTTGTATAAAAAATAAGAGTAAAAGAATATAGAATTTCTGGACTACACTGTAGGATCTTATATAAGTGTTAGGGTTAATTTGTAAATCGTTATAATTACTACACTTTTAGGTCTAGTCTTGCAGAAATACCGTCATATGGTTAGACATGACACCTTTAAAAGGCTGGCCACATGAACCAACATACTCAACAATAGAATCCTCTTTTCACAATCATCCATTATCCTCAAATGATAAACACAACACCTAAATAACCCATAGCACCTCCCTTCCCCTCTTAGAAGCGGCGATCATGAAAATTTCGCACATTCCATCCTCTCTTCTGTATTATCTGCCTCCTCCATTCAATCGCCTGCAAACCCTCAAGTTTCATCCAAAACCCGCACCCTACCAAATAATATCCACATTATCGACCAGTCTCTCAACACCCATATCATCCCCCTCTTTTTTTTTAAATCAAAAAGAACAAGTTTTATTATAAAATGAATCTGTCACCAACGTTACCCGAGCTAGCCACCACATATCCATATCAGCAATTTCATTACCGAGACACAACTGCACAAACCACTTCCTCCCCTACCTTCAACAAAAAGGAGTATTATAGAAAACACAACCCCAACATCTGCCAAAAAATAAACAGAATACAACACCCAAGTGTACTGAACACGGCTATCCCTTATGAAACATACTCGTAAAACTAGTATACAGTACCAAAATATTTTTGTATATTTTCGTGTATGTATTAATGATCGTTAAACCATGCTACCCCGCTTATTGTGATATATGGAATATATATCTCAAACAAAATGGTATAGTAACAGCAAAACAAATCACATTGAATCCATTAAAAAATTCTGATTGATCCCTACAATTGCACATCAGACAAGTGCACACAAACTTATAATCTATCCCTGACACGCATATATTGTTTCAGATAACACAAACCAAACGCTCTCTAATAAAATACACAATCTATGTAAAACTAGTAGAC